TTGTTGACCCCTCTCCAAACATAGCGCTTATGGTGTGTGTTACCTTGTGAGTCTGTAACAAGGCCAAAAATTCAAGGGTATTTACACTTTTGATCAAGGCCATTTGGGTGATTTCTGTCATCAAAATGATTTTAAAAAGAGCCAAACAACTATATGATAATAAATGGCTTCATATGATCACTATCCTTCAATAGAAGACATTTTTTTTTTTAATTTGTATTCTATTGTTTAATGAAATGAGGAAGGTGGGTACAAAAAAAATAAAGGTGCGTTGGGAGTGGGAGGCAAAAAATCAACTTTGACATTCGTGCATTTCTATTTAATTACACATTTGTATGACCGTACCAGTTCTGCCATCCTAGGTAGGCGACCATCAAGTTACATGACCTTTGTATCTACTATTCGGTCCACCTGAAACCTTTATTGGGACGGAACAGAGGAACTAGGTGTGATAGGCCGTCTATATCAGTTTGAATATGCCAGCTGGTTAAAGAAAGGTGAATCTATATTTCCCTTCCATACCATACAGTTGGAGGATTATAGGTTTGGTCAATAGTGTCAGTATATCCCAGGTACTTTATTGTTAGCTTAATAGATCGGATGAAGGAATGGGGGTGAGGGTACAGAAAAAAACAGGAGAAGAAGGGGGAGAGGGGAAGACTTAAACCGTGACCCTTGGTTTGTTGGTATATCATTTTATAATTTGTCATGTGTAAGACATTGGGTTTTGAAACCAGGTATATCATGCAGTGTTGTGGTGTCTATTTAGCATTGGTCATAAATTGTTTCCCATATATTCCATGCTTTGTGTAATGTATGTGCATCTTTGCTCGTGTTTATGGACATGCGTTCAAAGATATCAAATTGTAACTTGTCCCACAGTTGGATTTTAGAGGGACATAACGTTGACATCCAGTGCAGTGCGAGGATTTTGCGTGCTGCATGCAGGGTGAGAGACAACATTTGCTTGTGGGAATTGGATAGTGTAGAGGGAAGAAGCAAAAGCAGACAAGTCTCTGCATTTTGGGGAGTTTGGGGACCACCAACTTACATAATGTGGATTGGACTTCTGCCCACAAGGGTTGTATTACCTGGCATATCCACCACTGATGAACAAGCGTGCCCTCTTTCATTGAACATCTTCAACACATTTGAGATGCAGTGGGATATATGATGTGTAGCGTGTGGGGGTGGGGGTCTTGTACCACCTATAAAGCAGTTTTCTGTGTGCCTCTGCATTAGTATAGCATTTTGTCCATCTGGTCAGGTCATTAAGTGCTTTCAGCCAGTCAGTGTCTGTGAGTGAGATGGAGCAGTCTGCTTCTCATTGCATATTCGGAAGAGTTTTACCGTGCTCTATAACATAGAGATATAGCCTTCGGTATTGTAGGAGCCGACCAGCATCTGTCTATGACTAACTGTTTTGGAAGCGGGTCTTGGAACAATATGGGTTGTTGGAGCTGTACCTGTGAGTAGATAAGCCCCTTGAGTTGTAAATTGATAGAACACGGTATGAGGAGGGAGATTCCACTTTGTTTGCAACTCTGGAAAAGGTATAACTTCTCGGTTATCAAGAAGTTGAGATACTTGCGAGATCCCTGCCCTGAGCCAGCTCTGAAGGGGGATGTCAGGGGAAAGTGCCCGTAGGGCAGTCAATGGTGCCTTAATGTGGTATTTTGTGGTATTTTGTTTTGCACCCTAAGGTGCAAAGAAACGTATGCCAGTATTGGAAGGTCGATTGTGTGGTTGGAAGAAATATGCCTTGGGACTTCTAAGGTGTTTGGGTGTCCAATAATAGTCAAGTATTATTGGTCAAGTCATTGTAGTGTCTCGGTTGGGGAGTGCAAGAGGACCCCGGCTGTCAGGATGGTGGCTCTTTAGTACTGCCCTATGTTGAAGAGACCCATCGCTCCATGTTGTGGGCGTTTCTGCAATAAGGTTTTGGGTACCGCAGGTTTTTTGGTTTGGTAGCTGTAACTACCGAGCACTCAACACCCCCCTGGCTCATTATCTTCAAAGGAAACCATCAATTAAGCGCTTTCCCTGTGTGGCATGAAAGGAGGCAGCTTTGAGTGTCTGGAACTAAAATTGGACACTCGACTTCCCGAACACCGTAAGTATACAAACGCCTGCTTCCTTTTCCCAAACAGCCACGAGAGTGCTGTTCGGTAGTTTGGTTCCCACGAACCAAGGGACAATCGCTACTATGAGCCAGGGGGTTCTATTCGTGCATTATTTCATTTTTGTGACTTTTCTAAATAGACCGACCGCACAGCCTAAACTCATGGAACTGATTCTGGGCAGGAGACTTGTGTGTGGTCAGTCCAAATGGGACTTCCATAAAATTCCAAAACCCCTGAACTGATCTGGGTGATTTTTGGATATGTTGGTCACCAAGATCAGGGCTATCAGGCGATATAACATTTATGGAAAGTTTATATGTTTTGGGGTACTTTTCAAGTTTTATGAAAAATGTGTTATTTCTGCCAGGAGATAATTAAGTTATTACTTTATCTGACCTAATTATATCACAGGCAGAGAGGAGGGAATTATCTGTTTGTATTGGGAGTGTCACACTTTGTCACTGTGTTATCATTGGTTGTAAACTTTGTGTCCCTGTTCCCCACAAGGTCCATGTGGGAGTGCCCCTTGCATGGGGACTTGCATAAAAGCCAGTGTGGCACCCATTAATATAATTTCTGTTTTACCCTTCATTAAGTCTAGGCTCATGTTTGGGTAACTGTCTACTTGCTGGGGAGAAAACTACTCGGATGCTGCATTAGTCTCGAACCGTTCGAATCTACACCCGAACTGCAAGCTATAATCACTCAAGATCAGCAGTTCAAGAGGAAATAGGCAAGCAGCGTTCGTAACACCCCATATAAATGCTGCACAGGTCATTTGTAGGGAGTTAAGTAGTGTTTGTGGGACTTGTACGGGGAGCGTTCGGAATACATATAGAATCCTCTGTAAGATCATCATTTTGTATGTGTTGATCTCTCCTGGCCATGATATGGTCGTGTGTTTCCATTTATGAACCTTTGTCTTGCACATCGTTGGTAATGTACTGAAGTTTTGTTTTATCACCTCTGTTAAAGAGGTAGCAATTGTTACCCCTAAGTATGTCAGAGACGATGATCTCCAGTCAAAGAGGTATCTGTCATCTATGAAGGTAGGTGTATGAGAAGGACTTGGGTTTTATCCTGATAGTTGCGAACTTTCTATGCTAGGGGCCCCAGGGAGAGGATGTTAAGTAGTGGGGATAGGGGGCATGCCTGGTGGGTCCCATTTGTTATGGAGAACGAATCAGACAGAAACCCCCCCATTTGATACTTTGGCCTCCGGAGCCGTATACAGTGCCATGACTCCTTAATGACCTCTTGTGGGAACCCATATCTCAGAAGTACCTGATGCATGTATGCCCAGTTGAGCCCCCCCCCCCGCTTCATAGTCACCAACACATTAAGAATCTTCCTCATGTGGTGGCCCTTAATGAAGCCTGACTGGTTGTTATGCAGGTGCGTACCTTGAGCATTTGGCACCCAGGGCGGATCCTGTGCTTGGCACCCCCTCCTCCCGCTCCTCCCCCCAAATAAAACCTGTAGAAAAAATTTAAATGTTTTCTTTTTTTTACAATTTGTAAACTTTGCAAAAACGCTGTCAGCCCCTCCTACAAAACATTTGTCCTTCCCCGCCCCCTCCTTTAAAACCCCTGTCCTGCCCACTTCTACAAATCCTGTACTGCACATCTACAAAACCCCCGCAACCCCCTTCCACAAATCCCCTGCTTATCCCCCCTTATAAAGACTCCTGTCCCAATACAAAACCCCTGCCCCCTTTTACAAAATCCCTGCAGACCCACACACACATTTATAGGCAGACAGTCACACACACAGTTACAGGCATACAGTCACACACAGTTACAGGCAGACAGTCACACGCACACAGTCACATGCAGACAGTCATGCACACAGTTACAGGCAGACAGTCACATATACATTGGCACACACACGGCAGCAGCAGACAGTCACGTGCACACAGTCACAGACAGATAATCACACACACATGTTTACAGGCAACATCAGTCACAAGCAGACAGTCACACATACATAGTCACATGAAGTCACACACACAGTTATAGGCAGACAGTTACACACACAGTCAGTTCCATGTAGTCACACACAGTCATAGCCAGACAGTCACGCACACAGTTACAGACAGTCACATATACAGTCACTCACACACACAGTCACGGGCAGAGAGTTGCACACACACTTACAGGCAGACACACACACACACACTTAAAGACACACAGTCACATGCAGACAGTCACACATACAGTCACAGACAGTCATGCACACAGTTACAGGCAGACAGTCACATACAGATAGTAACACACACGGTTACAGGCAACATCAAACAGTCACAGGCAGACAGTCACACATACATAGTCACATGCAGTCACACACACAGTTATAGGCAGACAGTTACACACAGTCAGTTACAGGTTCACACACCATCATAGCCAGACAGTCACGCACACAGTTACAGACAGACAGTCACATATACATTCACTCACACACACAGTCACAGGCAGAGAGTTACATACACACTTACAGGCAGACACATACACACACACATACACACAAAGTTACAGGCAGACAGTCTCACACACACACACACACAGCATTTTGGCGTATAGCGTAGCGTCTCTGTTGAGGAGAGAAATGGGTCTGTAAGTTTTACACTGGCTGCCCAAAACAGTTCCAGAATAGTGATGTCGCGAACACGAAATTTCCGGTTCGCGAACGCAAACTTCCGCAAATGTTCACGAACCGGCGAACCGGGCGAACCGCCATAGACTTCAATGGGCAGGCAAATTTTAAAACACACAGGGACTCTTTCTGGCCACAATAGTGATGGAAAAGTTGTTTCAAGGGGACTAACACCTGGACTGTGGCATGCCGGAGAGGGATCCATGGCAAAACTCCCATGGAAAATTACACAGTTGATGCAGAGTCTGGTCTTAATCCATAAAGGGAAGAAATCACCTAACATTCCTAAATCACAATGGATATGGATTGATACCTGACATATGACATATTGACACAGAGCAGAATATGGACTGTTCCCCCTACATAGTGTCACTTGGCAGGTATGGATTGACACCTGTCCTCAGAAACCATGATACACACTGACACAGAGCAGAATAGAGACTGTTCCCCCTACATAGGGTCACTTGGCAGATATGGATTGACACCTGTCCTCAGAGACCATGATACACACTACACAGAGCAGAATAGAGACTGTTCCCCCTACATAGGGTCACTTGGCAGATATGGATTGACACCTGTCCTCAGGGACCATGATAAATACTGACACAGAGCAGAATAGAGACTGTTCCACCTACCTAGGGTCACTTGGCAGGTATGGATTGACACCTGTCCTCAGAGACCATGATACACACTGACACAGAGCAGAATAGAGACTGTTCCCCCTACATAGGGTCACTTAGCAGATATGGATTGACACCTGTCCTCAGAGCCCCTGATACACACTGACACAGAGCAGAATAGAGACTGTTCCCCCTACATAGGGTCACTTGGCAGATATGGATTGCCACCTATCCTCAGGATCCCTGATACACACTGACACAGAGCAGAATAGAGACTGTTCCCCCTACATAGGGTCACTTGGCAGATATGGATTGACACCTATCCACAGGATCCCTGATACACACTGACACAGAGCAGAATAGAGACTGTTCTCCTACATAGGGTCACTTGGGAGATATGGATTGAAACCTGTCCTCAGAGATCATGATACACACTGTCACAGAGCAGAATAGAAACTGTTTCCCCTACATAGGGTCACTTGGCAGATATGGATTGACACTTGTCCTAGGGATCCCTGATACACACTGACACCGAGCAGAATAGAGAATGTTCCCCCTACATAGGGTCACTTGGCAGATATGGATTGACACCTATCCTCAGGATCCCTGAAACACACTGACACAGAGCAGAATAGGGACTGTTCCCCCTACATAGGGTCACTTGGCAGATATGGATTGACACCTATCCTCAGGATCCCTGATACACACTGACACAGAGCAGAATAGGGACTGTTCCCCCTACATAGGGTCACTTGGCAGATATGGATTGACACCTATCCTCAGGATCCCTGATACACACTGACACAGAACAGAATAGGGACTGTTCCCCCTACATAGGGTCACTTGGCAGATATGGATTGACACCTGTCCTCAGAGACCATGATACACACTGACACAGAGTAGAATAGAGACTGTTCTCCTACATAGGGTCACTTGGCAGATATGGATTGACACCTGTCCTCAGAGACCATGATACACACTGACACAGAGCAGAATAGAGACTGTTTCCCCTACATAGGGTCACTTGGCAGATATGGATTGACACCTGTCCTCAGAGCCCCTGATACACACTGACACAGAGCAGAATAGAGACTGTTCCTCCTACATAGGGTCCCTTGGCAGATATGGATTGACACCTGTCCTCAGAGATCATGATACACACTGACACAGAGCAGAATAGAGACTGTTTCCCCTACATAGGGTCACTTGGCGGATATGGATTGACACCTGTCCTCAGGGACCATGATACACACTGACACAGAGCAGAATAGAGACTGTTCCCCCTACATAGGGTCACTTGGCA